TGAAGTGGTCCACTAGCTTTGACAGTTTTTGTTTGTTTGTTTGTTTGTTTGTTTGTTCAGTCCTTGGATTTTCTGGGTACACTGTCATTATCTGCATATAGTGACAATTTAACCATCCCTTTGCTGATCTGGATGCCTTTTTTTCCTTCCTTTGTTGTATTGCCCTATCTAGGAATTCCAATACAATATTGAATAGAAATGGTGACAGTAGACATCCCTGTCTTGTCCCTGTTCACATGGAAAATACTTTTTGTCTTTCTCCATTGAGAAAGATATTGCCTCATACTTTTTACAATGTCGAGGAAGTCCCTTGTATTCGTATTTTGGTGAGTGTCTTAATCAGGAAAGTGTGTTGGGGTTTTCCAAAGGCTGTTTCTGCATCAGTTGCCAGAATCATACGTTTCTTATGATTTTCTTTGATAATGTGGTGAATTACATTGACTTTGAGCATAAATAAATGTTGAAAAGCTGGGAGAAAAGATATAACCCTGATTGACAGATTTCTAAATTCTCAATAATTTCCTTATTATTTAACTTACTAGTGGTAGACTAAAATAGCATTTGGGAATATCCATTACTCTTCCCAAAGCAAATATGTTTTTGTAACTTTTTATATATTTATTTTTCTGAATGTTCACAGAAAAAATTGATTTTCATTCATTCAATGATCCAAATGTTTCTCCCTCTTTATTCTGCAATTTGTTTTGTAATGTATATCTTGTTCCAGATTATTTATTGCCATACATAAAAAATCTAGTCATAAATTACTTTCAGATATTTCTTCCCTTCACCTATTCCAGTGCAGTTTTCATTATAAATCCATTATAGTCCTACTATCTTTTTCTTGAAGACAGACAAATATGTCTATCTTGATAATTTGTTACCCTCTAGAACAATAATCAAAAGCAAAACTGTCTCTGAGGAGGCATTTCAGGAGAGGTTATCTAATCTTAATTCAGAGTGTTACAGCATTCATGGACTCTTACATATTAAAGAAATGAAAGTCTTTATCCACTGTATATGCAATGGTCAGTTTGCACATAGAGATTACGGTTCATGGGATCCCACCCCTAAGACTTGCTGCTTTTCTAACAGTGACAGATCCTCTACTGCTTCTTTTTACATCTTTCAGAGCATATTTAAAGGGTATGCAAATCTCCATCCCTGTGAATCTCTTCCAGATTTAAAAGCTGATCCCTGACTCTCCATCTGTGAATTCTGCTGCACCATGGACTTACTTCAATCCATTGTCCTGCTGCTGACCCTCCCTTCCTGTGAGTGCTTTGGTCCACAGCTTGCTCAGGGATAAAAAGAATCCTCTTAACTTCTTGAAGAGGCACTATATTCTTTTTGTGTTTTCTTCCCACAGGGGTTCTTTCTCAGGTCACCCTGAAAGAGTCTGGTCCTGGGCTGCTGAAACCTAATGAATTAGGTTCTATCACTGACCTGCACCATCTCTGGATTCTCACTGAGCACCACTAATATTGGTGTTGCCTGGCTCCGTCAGCCTCAAGGAAAGGCACCTGAGTGGCTCTCCCACATATACTGGGATGATAACAAGTATTACACACCATCTCTGAAGAACCGGCCCACAATTTCCAGAGACACCTCCAAAAGCCAAGTGTTCTTAACTATGACCAACATGAGTCCCACAGACACAGCCATTTACTATTGTGCACGAGTAAAATACAACAGACACAGTGACACAGCCTAGGCAAAGGTCTGTTAAAAAACCCAGTCAGATTCTCAGATATGTTCCCATTTCTACAGAGGAGAGGACTGGGGTGAAAAACACAGTTCCTGTCAGGCTCTGGGGTTTGCTCTCACCATTGAGATGTTTCAGTGCACACTGAAGCTGTTGAAGACACAGATAAACAACACTTCTGAACAAAAAACACAAGGAGGATCTACAATGAGAGATACATAGAACTACTTAGTCAATATCTTTGGAGAGGTTATACATAGCACGTGGCTGCATTCCTTCAAGGCAGACAATGGTGTATAGTCAAAATATGCACTTAATATCCTGAAATATAGGGAAAGTGCACACAGGCTCCGACATTCACAGTGACTATGAAAATTTAAGACCACAAAGCAGAGTGAGGG